ATGATCATAAGGACTATTTAAATGAAACATGAGGATTTTTTTTTTTAAAGGTATCCTTGAAATGCTCTTTAACATCTACATAGAATTATTAAATATGACTGATCAGCAAGAAACAGTGACTGGTTACATAAACTGCTTAGACTTACAAGTTAGTCGTCTAATTCCCCCCAAGACAAGTCGTTCAAATCAGTTACATAAAAAGGTAGATTGGTCTACTTTGAATTTGAAAAGACTGCATGATTAGCCCTAACTAATTGTTGGTCAGACTAGTTCTTAAGACACTGTCTTAACATGCCCATGTTTATGCAACTGAACCCAGATACTTAAAAGGGTAGTTCACTCAACAACAACAACAACAAAAAGGTTGTCAGTATACTCAGTCATTTCATTCCATACCTATATGACTGACTGACTTCTGCAGAACACAAAAGAAAATATTTCATTTAAATTTTCATTTTTGGGCACTGCTTTTTAGTTTTTACAGTGAATTTTGGGTAACACTTTACTTGAAGGGGTGTGCATAAGACTGACATGACTCCTTCATAATATGAAGGAGGTTTTATGCATGTTTATGACAACTGTCATTAAGTGTCATTCGCTCAGTTATGTCATTTTTAATGCAAAGATGACATTGTTTGACCTAACCCTAACCCTAACCTAACCCTACCCCTACCCCTAACCCTAACCCTAACCCATAACAAAGACATCTCAAACAATGTCATCTTTGCATTAAAAATGACATAACTGAGCGAATGACACTTAATGTCAGTTGTCATAAACATGCATAAACCTCCTTCATATTCATGACACGTGTCATGTCAATCTTATGCACACCTCTTCAAGTAAAGTGTAACCAAATTTTGTTTTATGCAAAATAAAAACTGTTGAATCTCCCAAGGCCAAATAATATAAAGATGACCAAGAACACCTCTATCACCATAAATAGGATAATTCGTCTTCTCAGCTGTATGCTCAGTTATTGAGCCATCATTCACATGAAACAAATATGGTGATGTAATCAAGTCACAGCATTATTGTTATTATTTGCCTTTCATACATTTGGACATAGTGAGCAACAGAGAAAGATATTGGTCTGCAAAATAATGCAGTTAAACATGCAATACCTTTGTCACTATTGCAATTCCTCACTGAACTGAACTTGCTATAAGCCACACACCTGCGTTTACTATAGCTGTATTTGGCTGCATGCAGGGCTTAATTTGTGCCGGAACGAGCCTGATCCTGATCCGGCACCTCCGAATTTCTCCGAAATCTGATCCGGCACCTCATTTGACAGATCCCTCCTCACACGCCAATGAAAGACGTTTGTGTTGACCTATAGCGTGCCTTAAAAAGATGTGCAAATGATACAGTTTTGTGATGATGCAACAATGACTCGATTAGGCAAGTAACAATTCTGTCACTGTCCCGAAACTCGAGCAAAAGTCTTGTATCGCAGCGTGCAGTAGTGCAGACGAGATGCGTATGGCTGTTGTGAATCCGCTTTGAGAGTGAGAGAAGACGCGCGGTACAGCTGAATCACTCACGCTGTTTTCAAATGACTGATTTAATCTGATAGTATGTGTGGAGCATGGGCTTGCAAATGACGTCACTCTTCAACGCTGACATCACACAGTGGGAAGAGGAACTGTGGGCTTCTATAAAAGCAGTGACACCTATGAGTCCAATCAAGCCCACAGAGAGATGCGAGTAAACTTAAGAGGTAAACCACGAGTTTGTTCTCTATGGAAAAGCGAAGAGTCGACTTTCAGTTTGTGGAACCACTAGCACTTGTCAACCTATCAGACATGAATGATTCTCTGCTGAACGTGGGTTTGAATGTATCAGAAGTTCTCGTGCCTTTCGCCAACAGCTCGTCTCTGAATCTGGACTATCGCTCTCTCATCACTTCTGCCACTATGTTTGGCGTCGGGGTCCTCGGAAACCTCGTGGCGATCGTGGTGCTTTGCATCTCCAAAAAAGAGCAGAAGGAGACCACCTTCTACACTCTGGTGTGTGGGATGGCTGTCACGGACCTGCTGGGCACCTGTTTCACCAGTCCGGTGGTCATCGCCACATACATCGCGGGCAGGTGGCCGGGCGGAGCGCTCCTGTGCCATTTCTTCTCCTTCTCCATGCTGTTCTTTGGTTCGGCTGGCATGTCTATTCTGTGCGCAATGTCAGTGGAGAGATATCTAGCCATAAACCACGCGTACTTCTACTCGCAGCATGTGGACCGGGCCACGGCTCGGTTCGCGCTGATGGCGACTTACCTGGCCAATATCGTGCTGTGCATCATGCCCAGTTTTGGTTTTGGAAAGCACACGAGACACTTTCCCGGAACTTGGTGCTTCTTGGACTGGCGCGCCATGGACTCCGTCGGCGCCTCATACACGTTTCTGTACGGAGGTTTCATGCTGCTGTTAATCGCCGTTACCGCCCTGTGTAATTTCGCCGTGTGTCGTTCACTGGTCGGGATGAGTAAAATGAGTCGCATGGTGAGGGCAGAGATATCCGGACACACAGGCTCCAGGCGCAGATTCAAATTAACATCTGCAGCGGAGATCCAGATGTTCTGGCTGTTAATTTTCATGACCATCGTGTTCCTGATATGCTCCATCCCTTTAGTGGTGAGTTATTCAGTCCTATAGTGGACAGTGGCTCATTTGATTTGTTCTTGTGTAATTCGTATTATTTATGAATAAGCGCTATACCAACGGAGTTTGTTCATCTAATCCTGCCAGTCAACATGAGCTGCTTACCTCACAACCGTGACAATTATTTAGGCATCAAACCACCATATCAGCCCTTTACATTTCTAGTAATTAATTACTGACTTCATTAGTCTTGTCATCATTAGTTCATTCGTTAGAGCTCCAATGGAGTCTCCAAGCAAGCCAAATCAGACTGAATTATATCAAGAATTATATGAGCAGGAGAACTCGTGTTGTTTATCAGATGTTGAAAGTGGGTGAATGGCGTGTCTTTATTTATTTATTTGTATTTTTATTTATTTCTAAATGACGTGTCCATTCATTCATTCAGGTCTGGATCTATTAAGCTATTAAAAATAATAATTAGTCTGAAGACAATTTGATATGCATAGCTAAAAAGAAATGATAATGATTGTAAAAAAAATAATCATAAATAATTATTGTGTACAAATTGATATATTTTTTTAGTGCTTATTTATATATTTTAGTGCTTTCACAATCATTACATGACATGTAGGTTATATACATTCAGTACATGTATAATGTGTAATATGGACACTGTAAATCCATATTAATTTCAAAGAGTTGTGATCTTTTCTAATTGTAATTGCCTTGAATTTATTTATTTTTTCATCTTAACAGGTGCGCATTTTCATCAACCAGCTGTATGATCCGGCTTACATATCATCAGGCAGAAGTCCAGACTATCGCAGTGATCTCCTGGCCATTAGATTCGCCTCCTTCAACCCTATCCTGGATCCATGGGTGTATATTCTGTGCAGGAAAAACTTATTAACCAAAGGCTGTATGCGACTCAAGCGTACTATCGGACTGAGGAAAGGGGATCATCGTCGTGTTTTGGGTTGGATGGACGGTCAGCACTCACCTCAGTCATTTGCTCAAAGCAATTGCACAAGCTACGTGTCGTTGCGCACGGCCATTTGTAGAAATGACATGGGTAAACAGACCAGCACGAACACTAAATCTTATATGGACTTAACCCTTCGCCAGGCATGGGACTTTGATACAGCTCTGGCTGAGTTTCATCCTTTCAGCGTCGAGCAGAACTGTGTCATGGGGTTTGATGAAGACGAAGGAGCATCAAGCCCCAAACTCCTCCCCAAGACTGTTGTGGCACTACCAGCCACTCAAATATTAGAAAATAAAGCTGAAATAGTAACTTGCACTTTCAGTACACCAAGTTCATGTGTATCAGAAAAGTGCTTGAGACAGTGACCTAGATGCCAATCTACATTTATTCTGTAAAGCACTGTGAGAAAAAAAAATACTTTTTCTCTTTTCTGTGTTAGTTTACATTCACAAATAATTCTGTGAATTTGCTTAGTTTTGATCTGGAATGATCCAATTTTTGGATTAAATCATAAGAGGAGACACTTGTATGTCTCTGTTTTGTTTAATGTGTGGTTATGGATATGTTGCTTCCTTCTACCGTGCTGTGCCATGCTGCATGCTGGGTTGTACTTGACCGTGACTTGTAAAACTGTGAATAATAATTAAAGGTGCAATTTATTTTCATCACATGCAAGAGTACAACCCGACCAACAAACACTAACAATTCATGATGACAACTAAGTTTTGGTGCATTATATATAAATATTTTTAATATCCCAATACTCTGATTCATCTGAATTAGTGACTACCAACAATGATATTTATGAAAGAACTCATCTTAAATAATGTTGTATTTAGTACTATTTTAATGTATTAACATTCTTATGGTGTTTACATTTCAAAGCCATTAATCACAATCATTTTGGACAAGTCCAGATGAACCTGAATACATTCAAGACAATTTGAGATATTTAAAGGTGAAGAGTGAAAAAAGCAATAATAATAATAATAATAATAATAGTACAACTTAAAAATGAATTTAAGTTTTAAAAAAGTATAAGTAACCTAGCAAAATAAAAATGAGAGAAGAGATTCTTATTTGTACATTTTGAACAATCTTCTCAATGTAGTGGAATAAGTTGCATAACATGTTTTACTAGACAAACGGTTGGTTTAACGTTTGGTTTAAATAAAATAACACAATGGCACTGCTCAAAATCATCTATCTAGTCCATACAACAACAATTAAAATGCAGCACTCTGGAACACATAAAATACACAGCCCTTAAAGGGATCCTTTACACCCTAATGCCATCCCATATGTATAGGACTTTCTTATTTCAGATGAACTTAAAGACTTTTTAGGAAAAATAATCAATCTCTCTGCATATAACGCAAATGTATGGATGGTCCAAAGATGATGCTTCAAAAACACGAAAGTGAACATGATGGTAATCCGTACAACCCTAGTTTTTCTTCTGTCTTGTTCAATTTGTGTGGTTTTTGAAGTGGTTCTGTACACTTGCATTACATGGACTAAAAATCTTTGTGTTCATCTGAAGAAAGTCATATATCTGGGACATCATGAGGGTGAGTAAATGATGACAGAATTTTTGGGTGGACTATCCCTTTAAAGTAAAAGATGTGATAAATAATTAATTGACAGCCATAACTATTTCTTAACAGGGCCGTGCACAGACCTTTTGAGGGGCATGTGCTGAAACTGATTGTAGCGCAAAAAAGAAAGAAAAAAAAAACATGCTGTGCAACCAACTGAGAAAGTTAATCGCAAAAGAGCGACCAGTGGGAAGAATGAGTCTGGAGCCCTGAATCGCCCAGCTCCCCCTGTCAATGATCTAGCACTCCCTCAGCACCTGTGTTCAAAATTCTCTGGCGCTGCCCCTGGTACATGATGTATTTTTGAAAAGCAAAAATTAAGTTTGTCCAACTCTAAACCCAGTCCCCAAGTAAATTAGGTTATTAAATAAAAAACTAGCAAAACGAGTTGCGCGGTGTCCCCACCACTTTTCAAAGCAAAGTTACGCCACTGCTT